GGCTTTGGGAGGGGGAAAGGCCAAAACAATAAACAAAAAAGGTATGCTTACTAGATTTAAGAAATAACTTACCAACCAAAATAAAAATACAGAGATCCTTCCCTGTCTCCCTCTCTAATGTAAACACAGGAGAAAACTAGTATTCAAAAAGAAAAGGCATCCACCTCCCTACAAGAAATATTCCCACTTAAATCAATAAAATAAACAGCTGGAGCACTCTGCACCACTCAGATGGTTCTATAGTTTACAAAAAACACACTACCCAGCTCAGGAACACCAAAGGTAGCTGGGGCACACTCTCAGGTTGGTTGAAGCATAATTAGCTGAAGCACAATTCAAAGATTTACCTTATCACTACAAGCAAAGCAAAATTGAACACTATAGAGAAACAACAGCGCTGGGACCAGGAGATGGTAGTGTCCCAGAACACGGAAAAACCTCAGCCTCTCTCTCTGGGGTGCAGTTCTCTGGGTTCCTTTGTACTCCACTTAACAAGCTGGAATGGGAGTCAGGTGGTACTCATTATCCTGTCAAGCAGACAGCTGTAGGAGCAAGAGCAACAGAGAAGAGCACAGAGCACACACACACAGAAAATACAATTGTACACAAATCATTCAAAATAAATTAAATAAAGCTATACGTCCCTATGGACGTAATAATAGACTCTCTGAGAAGGAGAGAATTCGATAGCGTCAGCTCAACCTGTGCTATTACTGCGGTGAAGCAGGCCACCACAGCATGGAATGCCGGCACAAGGCCCGGAAAACCACCACGACTACCACCCACGTAAATATTGAGCAATTGTATCTCCTCCCTATCAAGTCGTTTACCTTTCCTGTTCGGCTTACTACTGAAAATGTCTCTGTTGATTTAACAGCGTTGTTCGACTCTTGAGCAGCCCTGAACCTTATTCATCAAGACCTCATCATTAAATCCAACATCCCGACTCAACCATGCAAAGCATTATCAAGATCAGTGCTGTTAAAGATGCACCTATAGGAGATGGAATCACTCAACAGACACAAACCCTTCAACTTCATATTGGTTTGTTCTATAAAGAGGCCATCTCCTTCTACGTTATTGACTCACCTAGACATGAAATTATCCTTGGCTTTCCCTGGTTATCTGTCCACGACCCAGGTATCTCCTGGCATCATGGTGAGCTGACTCATTGGTCTGAATTTTGCCTAACCCATTGCATGTACTTGACCATAGTCAAACCATGCCTCACTACAAGCACTGAAATCCCAGACACCAAGCAAACCGCAAAGATTCCAGCCTGTTATATTGACTTCTCCATAGAAACTCAAGCTATGGAGGAGTATATTGAAGAGGCCATGAACTCTGGGTTTATCCGCCCTTCCACTTCCCCAGCTACTGCAGGAATTTTCTTCATAGAGAAAAAGGATGGAGGCTTACGCCCATGTATTGATTACAGGGGATTGAATAACGTCACAGTCAAGTTCTGTTAGCCCCTTCCACTGGTTCTTGCAGCCCTTGAACAACTACGTGAACTCAAGAGCTACACAAAACTTGATCTCAGAAGTGCTTACAACTTGATCTGAATTCGTGTAAGGGATGAATGGAAGACTGCCTTCCTCACCACTAGGGTGCGCTACGAGCACCTGGTCATGCCATATGGACTTGCTAATGCCCCTGCAGTCTTTCAGTCCTTTATCAATTAGATTTTTCGTGACCTCTTGAACAGTACTTAGTGGCCTACATCGACAACATTCTAATATATTACAAGTCTGAAGCCGACCACATATGCCATGTCAAGACATTGCTCTCCCATCTATTGGAGAACCAGCTGTATGTCAAAGCTGAAAAGTGCGAGTTCCTTGTTCAACAAATGATCTTCTTGGGATATAACAGCCATCAAGGTGTAAAGATGGACAAATCCAAAGTTCAAGCAGTCACTGAATGGCCCCAACCTACCACGATAAAAGAATTGCAGAGGTTCCTAGGCTTCGCAAACATCTACAGACGGTCCATTAGAAACTAGTCTGATTGCTTCTCCATTGACATCGCTTTTAAAAGGCAAACCTGCTAAGCTCAAATGGTCTGAAGAAGCCACCAAAGTTTTCAATAAACTCAAGGACAGTTTTACCACAGCTCCCATCCTTAAGCATCCTGATCCCAAACTCCACTTTGTGGTTGAAGTAGACGCCTCTGATTGTGGGATTGGAGCTGTGCTCTTACAATGTCACGGTCAACCAGAGAAACTCTACCCCTGTGCATTTTTCTCAAGAAAACTGACCTCAGCCGAGCGTAGTTATGATGTGGGAAATAAGGACCTGTTATCAATGAAGGCAGCCATTGAAGAATGGCGGTATTGGCTCGAGGGGGCTATTCATCCCTTTCAGGTGATCACAGATCACAAAAACCTGGAGTACATTAACAATGCCAAATGTCAAGCTCGTTGGTCCCTGTCCTTCACTCGCTTTCAGTTTACAGTCACCTACAGACCAGGCAGCAAGAACAGTAAGGTGGACGCCTTGTCCAGACACCATGATCCCCCTGCTGAAAGTATCTCACCTGAGTCTATTCTCCCTCCATCAGTCATTATAGCTCGAGTCACTTGGGACCTAATGGAAGAGATGCATTGGACCCATTAACAAGAACCACTGCCTGCTAACAGTCACCCCCAAAAAAAACATTATGTAACACAAGCTCTTCATCAAAGAGTCATGCAATGGGTCCACACATCTCTAAGCTCAGGACACCCTGGAATTTCCCATACACTCCGTCTGCTACAAAACTCTTTCTGTTGGCCATCAATGACTAAAGACTTTGCAACCTATGTTAAGTCCTGCCATGCCTGTGCACAATCTAAGACCCCTAAGGAGTTGTCCTTGGGCCTTCTCCAGCCACTGCCCATTCCACAACGTCTTTGGTCACATTTGTCCATAGACTTCGTCACTACCCGCCCCTTTCTAATGGTTTCATGGCTATTCTGGTAATCATTGATCGCTGCTCTAAGTCCTGCCACCTGGTTCCTTTAAAAGGCCTTCCTACAGCCATGGAAACAGCACAAGCCCTATTCCATCATGTCTTTCAGGTCAATGGCATACCAGATGACATTGTCACTGACAGAGGAGCCTTCTGCAGGCACCTTGATATCAGTGTGAGTCTTACGTCAGGGTACCACCCACAAACCAATGGACAAGTAGAACACCTAAACCAGGAGATTGGCAGGTACCTCAGAATCTACTGCAGTTGTAAACTACACTGCTGGGCAGAGTTCCTTCCATGGGCTGAGTATGCCCAAAACTCCCTGACTCACTCTTCCACTGGCATGACTCCCTTCCAATGCATCTTGGGATACCAACCCCCCTTCTTCCTGTGATCTGGCAAACCCTCATCAGTCCCTGCTGTGTATGACTGGATCAGACGTAGTGTGAGGGTATGGGACAGAGCCCATGTCCGTCTACACAAGAGTTCCAGGCCAACAGACGACGTCGATCACACCCTCTCTACCAATCAGGACAGCGGGTCTGGCTCTCCACGAGGGACCTCAAGCTGCGGCTACCAAGCAGGAAGCTTAGCTCCAGATATGCTGGCCCATTCAAGATTTTCAGACAGATTAATGAGGTCACATACCAGCTTGAGTTTCCTGCTAATTATCATATCTCTCTATCCTTCCATGCCTCACTCCTCAAATTGGTCCACCCAGATGCAGACCCCAATGCCGGGAACAAAGAACCACCACCGCTGGACACCGTTGGATGTAGATGGATCACCAGCATACAAGGTGAACGAGTTGCTGGATTCAAGACGCAGAGGGGGTCAGCTCCAATACTTGGTGGACTTGGTGGCTGTGGGCCTAAGGAGAGATCATGGGTGGCCGCCCATGACATCCTGGATCCGTCCCTTATCTGAGGACTTTCATCAAGCCAGACCTGATCGACCAGCATTATGACCACAGGGACGCCCATGTCGAGCGCTGGGAGGAGCTCCTACAGAAGGGTGTTCTGTAATTCCACGCCAGCAGAGGGAGCCCTCGCCCAAAAACTGACTGTGTGCTGCTCACTCTACAGTCACTTCCTGTTTGGCAGCCATTTAAGCATGGCATGACCAAATAGGCTTTGCGAAGTATTGCCAGTTCCACTGCCTTACTGTGCGTTCTCTGCCTATTGTCTGTTTGCCTTGTGTATGAGCATTGTGCCTGCTTTCTTGGATTACTGTTTTTTTGGATTACCCTATTGACTTGGCTGCCTGTTTGGATCGTTTATTGTGTTTGAGCACCTTGCCTGCCCTCACGACTCCTGGATTTGGATTATCCCTTTGTCTGCTTGCCGTTTGGACTTATTTCTGTGGTTTTCACCATTTGCCTTGCTTCACGTTTCTGATTGTTCGACTGTCCTCATTAAACTTCTGCACATGGATTCTAATGCGCCTTCAGCCTCCTCATTACAATAGAGAATTTTTCTGTGGATTTTGGCATGCAGATTAAGTGTGGACCTGCTTATTTAGTATAATGCATCTGTTTTGTTTTAGTAGTAATAATGGCCATCTGCTATATCTAAAAAAATAAATAAAATAAAACAGCACAGTAGCAGAATGCAGTATAGAAAGTCTCACAATAGATAGTAATTGAATAGTAAATAGTTCACAGCAAAGATTACATTTTTCCATTCATGCTTGCCTCTCTTCCTCCCTCTGCATGAACAGGAAGTTGGACACAAATATGGAGGAAATCTGGAGCCACTAGAGCTGTAAAGCCTGGTGGATTCATTAAGTTCTTTGTCTTATGAGGCATTTTTTTCCTTCCATGTCCACAGGGTCAAGAAACAAGAGATTGTTCCATGTTATTTATTAATGTAAAATTACAAATAACATCTTCAATGTTCAAATCTTTTGACGTTATGTATCTGATTTTATATTTTATCTGATTTAATATTCAAGTCACGTAACACCAAATGACCCTTTAAGACTAACAATCAAATGTGTATTTGATGATAACAGACTCTTAGATCTAATAGAAACACTGACATGAGTTTATTGTCCCCAGATCTTTAATTGTCTGATTTAGGAGGAACAGGGTTTTACAACAACAGACATCTTTGACTCATTGTATAGTCCTCACTGAAATATTTGTTCATGCACAAACACTCTCTTCTGCATGTAAACGACTTGCCACACCACCACAGCAAAACAATAAACAGCAACAAATAAAAAAAGATAAAGTAAATCTTTCATATTTTAATTCCATGTCGATATGTTTAACTTTTGAGCAAGACACAGCTGAAGACAGTCCACCAAACATTAACACCTTTACTAGCTGCCTCAAGAGACTTATGATATCCACTGTTGTCTACTCAGTAACAGGATGTTAACCTTTATTCTGTAAAATGTTGTTGCTTTTTCTGACTAGCTTCTTTTTTTTTATCAATGTGGGATCAAGGTTATATATATTTTCAATTAATTTAAACAGGGTGATCCCTGAAACCATCTACGTTATCTGTCCCTTCAAAACAACACAATAAGAATGGTTTGTGGAGAGACACAATAGGTGCAGAGTAACATCAGCAGGAAAAGCTGATGTTTATATATTGAGCCATTATGTAATTTAACCATAAAGGCTAGACTTACTGATGGTTTTAGATGTAAATACAGGTTTTCATGGTTTCTCTGGGAATCAGAGAATTAAAAAATTTAAAATTTTCATGTAAAAGTCATGGAAGATTCTATAGTGAATATAAATTTTATTCCAGTTATGCTCTGCTCTACAACAGCGGTTCTCAGCCACATTTCTGGAGCCCCCAACACTGTTCAAATTTTGAATGTGTCCTTAATCAAACACACCTGATTTAGGCCATCATTTCATTAGTAGAGACTCCATGACCTGAAATGAGTGTGTCAGAAAAGGAGACATTAAAAATGTACTCCAGGAATATGTTTGGGAACCACTGCTCTACAATATATTATTTACTCAGGAGGGTCCAAACCTGTTTAGCTCCAACCTTAATTAAACACTCCTGAACCAGCTAATCAAAGTCTTCAGACTCACCAGAAAATTCCATGCAAGTGTGTTGGATTTGGGTGGAGCTACATTTTGCAGAACATTGGCCCTCCAGGAGCAGGATTGGACACTCCTGCATTAGCTGGATATTGCTCTTCAGGGCTTTTCACACTTGAAATAGTTAACCCTGGGTCATTCTAAATGCCAGGTAAATGGAATTCTGGGTTATCTTGCTCCAAGTTTTACACTGCTCATAATTTACCCAAGGTTAGCAATTAATCATGGCTGTTCTTAATCTGATGTTTCACACTGTACATTCATAAATCCTGGGTTAACGGTCTTATTTGCAAATTTGAGGTGTCATTGTCATTGACTAGAAGAATGTGGGATGGTTCTAGCATGGCTCATCCTCGTATTATATATTGTAGACTATCAGGTACATATCAGTTCATAGGTTTTCTGTCACCAGTTGACATTTTTCCCCTCAAACGCTGAAATAACTGTTTATACAATGTGCAATGTTTCCATGACTGTCCAAAGTATGTGAATATGAGGCACGATTGGGTATCTGCTGCTAAGCATCTATCCATAATATTCTAATACCGCATTGTTTCACATTGCACAAGTTTGCTACCGCAATCCGGTGCTAACCCCGCTTTTAAATTTGTGTAAAACGTACCTTTACCTGGGGTCAAAGTTTAGAATGGTGATAACCCAGGGTCAAGAGCAGTGTGAAAAGCCCTTTTTTGAGTGCAGTCTGTGAAATCATTCAAAATAAGTCATTAAACTGTTCAATCTAGATTTCCAGTCAGTACTCCTTAGACATTTGTAACATTGCAGCATCTATTATAGTTAACCCACTGTTTTAAAGGACTGTTTACATAAAGTGGGTTACAAATCTGGCAGGAAGGCTTACAGAACACAGCACATCTCAAAAACACCCAATGTGCATAGGTTAGGGGTCACATCTTACAAACACATCACCAGACAGCACTGCTCCTGAAGAGGACAGGGTGAGACAGGATCCATGCAGGAGTGGGAATTGATGATATTTGATAAAGCTGTAGTAGCTCATTCATCGAATCGACCCTCCAGGATACTCTCGAAGGAAAACGGGACAAACTTGAAGCCCTGTCCTGTGTAGAATTTGTTCTGGAACTCCACCCTAAATGACAGGAAAGACAGGACAAAAGAATGCAATGTCAGAGCGGTGATGAGCGGGACATTTAATATTAAAAACACCTGTTGATTCCTGTTGACAACAATGGACTTGCATCTTTGTTTACTTGCAGTATGTTGTGGTTACTTCCTCAAAAGCAAAAGTGTGTTGAAGTGAAAAGGTGAAAATCGGGTTGGGCTGTATGACCATATGAGGAATGTGTCAGCCGGTGAAGACTGTTATACTGTGGCAGCTATTAGTGGGCCAAATGACTTTCACGCCCTCTTACAACACACCTACACTATTGTTCAATTTTAAGATTTCTGGCATCAGTCGATAACGGTTCTCACTTGACTGATTGACAGAACTGTTACATTTGCTTTGTATAAACTTAAATCCTATATAAAACAATTTACAGATTATAGACCGACTGTAAAATAAACACACAAATCCCTAATTTCTCAGAATGTTCTGTGCAAAGATCATACCCACTTGAAAATACTCTCTACTGTATGTAAGAATAGTTGATGGGGAATATTGAAGTTGAAGAGGTCAAACTATGCTTGTAAATTAGCCAAATGTCTGTCATTTTTAATATATTTTTGCCTTTATTTCTGAAACTTTCATACAAGTAAGCTCTGTGGGTAAACTGTTATTTGAGCTATTTCTCCAACTTTGTCTATAATGGGCACATTTTTCAATTTCTCCAGGTTTTGCTGCCAGGAGTGAAAAAAGCCATAATCACACACATTCCGTCACTATCATTGGGTCATAGATAAGAGTGTTTAGATTTGCCGTTGGGAGAAAATATTTTTGAACCGAAGGTTGAGATTTTGAGTAAGGTAATGTCCAGACACAGATTTTTGAAATCAAACAGACAGCTGTTATTAAGTGATTGTGTGCATGACAGCTCTCTGAGAATTTAAGGGAGTCAGTTCCCTGTTGGAAAAAAAAGATGAGAAAAAAGTAATATATGCCTTTAATCTAGAAACCTTTAAACATCAAATGGAACTGGAACATGATTTTACATTAAGATAAAAAAGGTTTGATTGGGTGGAAAATCTGTTGGGTGGATACACAAGAGAAGGAAACATTTAAGAGTCAGGGAATGTCTCACTGCTGTGGTAAATATTTAAGTCAAGAGAGAAAAGACTCTTCCATCTTTCTACGCACGGAACAAATAAAACCACCAAGAGTGTAGAACCTCATTTACCTTCAACATGTCTGTGTGTGCATAGGCCGTGGAAGGAATTTTGAAAGGGTTGAGACGAGAATGACATAAAAATGCCACAATTAGCGCCTTATAAAATCATTATCAGAACAAGTTATTCTTGAGAGGCAGCGATATGTTTACCTTTCCTCTTCACATTCTTTCCCTCTGTAGCACATTTCAGAAGGATGACATAATCTACACATTAAGATCTTAACCCTTAAAGACCTAGAACATTTTGGGGCACCTGACACGCCTGTACTTTTCTTTGTTTTTTCAGACCTATTGTAGCAGTGAGCATCAAGTGCCATATATCATTATAAACAAGAGCACTTGAAGTTTCAGTCTAGCTAATATAAAGTCCCAATTTTCCCTTTGGTTTCTTTAAGAATTAATGAATTTCCAGAATTTTAAGAAAAACGCAAGCAATAATTGGGTGTTTTTTTTACTGTGTACTCAAACAAAAACACCTGAAGTTTGTTTTTTTTCTTTAGAATGTTGTATCTGGGTGTTTTACACTTCCAAAAAAATGTTTTTCTACAAATAACATTCCCCAAGCCAGTTATAGCCATTTATTACAATATTGTTATAGGCGCTTTTCAGTGAAAACAGGTCTATCTACATTACTAACGATATAGATGTGTCCAAAAACATTTAGGGAGTAAAAAAAATGGAAACCGTGTTATATAATAACAAAATATACAGTGCAACAGAAAAAAATAGTGCAAATGATCCTTATGAACTATTATTTACATAATATAACAGCCAAATGATTCGATCCGCTGGCTGCACTCTGCGTCAGTTGATTTTACCGGGACATCGCCCAGCGACGTGAATACCTAAATTCCAGTGCTTTATCCGATATGTACCGCTTTTTCATCCTTGTTTTTGGTTTGTTTTATGTCAAAGTGATCTGTCCTGTGTTTTTATGCTCTCATGCAAATGTGGTATTGTGTGTTTGTTTTCGTGCACGCACGACACACTTTACTTTCACTTTGATCAGATTTCCAAAGAAACTTGCTAAACAATGGTTCAAAAGACCAAAACCTATGTTTATTGGTTGAATATGTGACAGTTTGAACCAATCTGGTCACGGGGGTGGGACTAAGCGTCAACAATCGTTCCTGTTTGGCTCAGAGGACGAAATGCATTGGTTTCTTCTGACGAATCAATGTTGTCAAAATGTGATGGCGTAATCATGTATGCTACCGAGCCTCTGAATATCCAAATGAGACAAATGCGATATCTCCGAAAAGCGGAGAATCTCTGCTTTACGACACTTTTCAGATAAGTTTAGCGGTTCAAAAGTTATTAAACATTTACGAACAATAGTTATTTTTAGCCGCGAGGCGGCTGTCTCGGTCTTTGAGGGTTAACAGAAAAGAGTGTCAAAGATAGAGTGATTGTAAAAAAAATAACAGTTTTAGAATAGACAATTTCTCTTAGTTGTACAGCTCTATTCATTCATAGCTTTTCGCTAACATCCTTTCAACGACTCGAAATAGTTTTAGCGTGTTAATGGATATGACAGTTTTAATGTATTTGGTCTTAGCAGACTAGATCTGCTATGAATGCTGCTGCAGAGCAAACTGCTACTGCCAACAGATACACAGACACGCTGCTGTGAGCATGTAAGATATGATGTTGCTGCTGCATGAATAGGCATACATAAATACCCTAGCAGATGTAGACAGGTGGAGCTGGGGGAGGTGGTGGGTTTCAGAGAAACGTTGATAGCGTTCTGCAGGACCAGTATAGCGTGAACACTGAACCAGAATATTTAAATATTGAGCAAAAAATCTTATTGGCTGTAGAATGAACAGAGGCCAATCAGCTTGCGCTGTGTAGTAAATGATGTGATTGCTAACAGATTGCATGGAAAAGACCTATCAGCCTGTGCTATCTAGAGTTTCATGACTCAACTATATATAGCTCAAATGGTACTTTTGAGTGATGTCTTCATCATGTCTATAAAAATGTTAAAGATGAATTGTTTAAATTTTAAAACAATTGAAAATTTTCAATTTAAAATATTTTCATTTGTATGTGTTTGCACTGGCAAATTACGGCCCTGTGTGTTGATGTGTGTGTTTATCTCACCAATGTAAGCGCAGAGCATGCAGAAATGCAGACAGTCCCTCCATGATGAGTAAGATGCACACTGTTAGTGTGGCAAAGGCAGAGAAAATGATCGACAGGCCAAAGAATCCACCACCACTCCTCGATGACAGTCCAAGATGCATCACCATTCCCCAAAGAACCTCAGACAACTCTGACAGACAGACAGAGAAAGAGTGAGTTCAATTTTAACAAGCCTGTGGATGTGTTGTGGATTTTTATGTGTGTGTGAGTGTGTGTGGATGAACTTACGAGCATGAGCCAAACTGAGGGCCCAGAGCCGCAGGTATGAGGCAGTGTTGGAGATGCAGCCCAGACAGTATTCTATAGTGTGAATGGCCTGATGAACAGCCATATCTCCAAAGTTAAACTACAGACAAAAAAGAAAAAAAAAATACAGAAAAGGGTCAATAATGATCTTTGAATGTAGGATCCAAAAAAAGTTAAAAGCTATCTTAAAAGGTTAGTTCAGACAAAAATGAACATTCTGTCATTCAACAATAGACCAAGAACAAACCTCATTGGTTCGTGTGGAAGCTCAAATGTGCTAATTGGTTCTCAAGCAAACACGTTCATACTTCTGTTTACCATATTTGCTGTGATATATGTTTGTATGTTGATCAGTTTTATATGGAAATAAAAGACCATTAATTATTATGCAAAATGAATTAATATGTGCTTTATAAATACTAGTAAACGGCCAATATGCTAGTAATATGCATGTTAATAAGCAACTTGTTAATAGTGAATAGTGTTCCCTAATCTAAAGTGTTACCACAAATTAATAAAAAATTCATAATAACCAGTTTTATTTTAAAGATGATAACTTTTACCTCTTCTCCCTGCATTAAAATGCTATGCAGAAAACAACTGTTTGAACTCTTTATACCCTTTTTTGCATAATACCTACTTACAATAGGCAGTATGCAGTATTCAAAAAGCAGTAAACTAGTATTATTTTAGGAACATAGCCACATTTATATATTTGGAAAACACTTGTATCCAATGTGACTTACAGTACACTGATGGTATACTATTTTTTTTTTTTTAAATCAGATATCTGATCGTAAACCCACTTTTTTGTGCATATATTATTTTATTATTTTGCTGTTGTGCTTCTACTGGAAGCTTCTTCAATTGATTTTTTTTTTGTGTGTGAATGTGGCTAGTAAAGTGTTATCTGATTCAGAAATGATAAATGAGCAGTAGAAAACAGTACTCTTCTATTAAGGAGGACTAGTTCAGTAATTCATCTTCACTTTTCATCATAATATTTTAATATTTTGGAAGACGCATGGTGTCATTCGTGTTGAGAACAATAGAGCTGAGATGACTGTGATGTCAGTGATCTTTTTCCTGTCTTTTAACAATCCAGAGAGATTACAGAGAAACGAGCAGTTTTTTTTTTTTCCATTTTCAATCTAAAGATCACAGATCCCCTTCTGCCAAGTCACGAGCAGTGTATGTACAAAAACACTGAAGTTTATTTTATAATAAATCTAGAGTGCTGCAACAGACTGGCCAACAAGACCCTACAAAGGACAAGTGGTTTGGAGAAAAGAAAAGGACAGAAAATGAATGGGAATGTAGACTGACTTTTCTCAGATACATAATATGTACACGCTTATGCATGCTATATGTATGAAATGTATGTATGAAATTGTTTCAGGATGTGCACAAATTCAAAACTGTATGAAAAATAATAATAATAGAGATAACTGGAATCTAAGGCTACACTGCAGGCCTTAGTGCTCAATTCTCATTCCCATTTAATGCTCATATCCATTTTTTGTTTGTTTGTCTGTTTATATTATTTTTTTAAAATGTGTCCAATATCAGATGTGAGTGTGAACTGGTCATGGTCCTGAACTGACACATATGCACAAAGTAACAATAAGAAAGACAACACACTGTCATGTAGAAGCAAACTGAGGTCAGCAAATTTGTGCACAGGCGATGAGGATGAAGATGAGGAGAAAGAGTTTTTCACATATAATTTTCACATAAGTTTTGCTTGAACAGAGCTGTCATCGTAATACTTATGACTTCTAACACCTCACTGTCCCCCACTGACTACCTTTGCAGCCGTCTTCCATATTAACCAAATGACCAAGGACCTATGTTATGTAAAATCTTTGGATTGAATTGAATTGTAAAATGTTGATCTAGAGTGACACAAAAGCCGCATAAATTCTGATAAGACTGAGGTTTCAATGCAAAACATCTGATTTAGAACCACATACGGAAGTGGCACAAATTAGAATTGAAAAGTTCAGATTCCATGTGGTTTGTGCTGTTCACACTGTTATGGGGGAAAAAATAGTCACATAAAGAAAAAAACAATCTGAATTTAGCCTAAATGAATGGACAGCACTTGAGTCCATCAACATGTCCAGAGTGCTTAGGTGGTCAAAGGTTATGTTCAATAGAAATACGTTTTACTCCGCAAGAAAAATTATTGAAGAAGCATTGATGTCAGGTGTGTTTATCAAAAGGGAAAAGATAGGACTGATTCTTGTACTACTTGTAAAGTCATGTAAAGTTTGGCTTGGCAGAGGCTGGTTTCCCTTTTCCTCTTGAATCTTTTGTTGAGAGTGCCGAATGGCTCAAAAGCCATCATGGAAAACCTGACGTAACACTCTCATTGTTCTCCAGCAGAGGTGTGTTACCAGGATATCATAGAAACCAGAAGGCCAAGGCTATTGAGTGACTCAAAGTGCATAGATTATTAGTGTGCATTAACTCAATAACACAATATCAAGGATATTACATAATTCTAACAATCATGTATAGAAATAACTGCCTTACTAAGAAACTGCAGTGTGTCACGAATGATCTTTTCATCCATTTACATTAATTCACAATTACCACTTACTCTAAAAAAATAGTATATTTGGTTCCCAGCACGTGCAAATATACAATAAAACACTGTGTGCCATGAAAAATAACTTTGATGGATCATTGAAGGTCATTACTTCCCAATAATAATATATACAAACTACCGTATTTTATACTTCACAGATGACAGAACATCCTTCTTGTTTTCCCTTTTTGTAAAGTGAAAATCTAGAGTAATTTTATTGTATGTTTCACTAAGACCTGTTATTTCATATTTCATAAGAGTCAAAATCAATATAACTTAGCTTGCAAACATTTTAATATAATTGTACTTGAAAACACTGTTTCATGACATCCACATCCACACATGACATATTTTTTTCGGTTTGTGTTTGAATAAAAAATGTATTATCAATTATTTTCATGAATAATTAATATATAAGAAAGATTATGTGAATGCAAAAGTAACAGAACAACACACAAAATTCTCTTACCGGTTCTTCCTCTGAATGCTTGAAAAGTAGAGAACAGAGTTTTAAGTAAACAAATCAAAGAGAATTGTTTCTAATTCAATTATTGTAAAATTAACTGCATGAATAATGCATACCGACGAGAATAATAAGTAAGGCAGGTCAAAGGTTACAGATCAGACAAAGAAAGCAATCTGCAATCTGTTAGGAATGTTTTTTTATGTGTATTATTATGTATATAGTATTCTCTTTAACTTTGGCACACATGCACCAAGCACTACTATTATACAATATTCTGATATGCGCATGCTGGATCCTGTCCTTGTGTTTGCAGTCAGTATACTAAGTTTTTCCATCTCAGTAGATGAGGATCTGTGCAATCCTCTTTCACCATGAACAATTAATGCCATGTGTGGGTAATACCACAAACCTTCACCTCAGTCATAACTCATCTTGTTACTCGTAATAATAAATTATAGAAAGATTCAATTTGGATGGCCATAAATAATCACTGTTTCAAAACAAGTTTCAAAACTTCAGTGCATTCCAAAATTATTGAATCATCATATAGCTAACTTTCTGTTTCCATTGTGTCTTAAACAGACCACACATCAATAATAATGATGACACTAACATTTACTAATAAATAAAATGACATAAATGTGTTACTTATTAAAATTGTCTAGTTATTGCCCACAAAAACATCTAATAGGCTGAATCTCAAGAAAATATGTCTAAGTCACACCAAACGTTTGCTATTTAGTTTATTTTTTGTTAAGCATTATACTATAAGTATTTAAGTATATTTATGTTTTATAAGTATGATTATATAAGTATTGAGATTTGCTTGCATTGTGACATTATTTTCATAACAATTAAGCAAATTTCTTACTGCAACTGTAATGCACCTGGTTTTATTTTCAAATTTGTTATTAATTCCATTATTCTCAATGATGATTCTCATTAATTTCTCATCACTGTAATATATTTTCACAACACTGCAGTAAAACAATGTAATAATACTTTTTATTTGAATCAGGTATTACAACAAATGCTATCATGAAATATAAACACTTCCCAATTAAAATATATTTTTTGCATTAGAGTAATAAGAACTTAAATAATGATCTTTAAAAAAGCATCATATGACCCCTTTAATAGTCTTAAAAACTTTTTCTTAATGCAAAATGTAATTGCATGTTTTTTTTTTCTTTACTCTCGGGAATATATATTAGCGGGAAATATTCATGACAGGTTTCAACCTAAAACTCTAAAACATTACGCTACCAAGAACGCAGCCTTTAATTCATTCAATCGTGTTTTCATTATTTGTTGTTTTTATCTGCTCAGCACATGATGGAACAGACCGTTCAGGGCAATGTCAAAAGGTAAGAAAATATGAAAACATTTTGCACATTCCAATGGTGGGTATGTTTGGAGCGGGTGAGTCAGACTGCTCACAGAGTCTTGCTGAGAAGTTACTCCTCTGTTTACATTTCTCAAATTTCTGTAGGATGACAATCCTTTTAATCAGACTATCTTTTGTTTAGGCAGATACACTTAAAACACTGGTAAACAATAGTTTATTTTCCATTAAACACGATCTCACTGCAGCCAAACTACAACATCACACAAGAAAACATCACGTTTCTCTGTGTGCCATCAAAATGTCCCTCAGCTGTTGTGATTAGGTTGTATTTTTATGTATATGTAATGAGGAATATGCACCAATAAATATCAGAAAAACATTACAATTCAAATAATTCCATATGACATGTACCACAGGCTGACATCACAGACTCCACCCACCTCATCTCCTTCCTCTGAGTGCTGCGAGAGCTGGTCGTGGTCAATGATCTCCGCCTCGTCTTCTGTAGGCCCGTTTCCGACCCGGATGCCACCGAACTTCTGCGTGCCCTGTTGGGTGAGTCCGGTGGGTGAGCTGGTGCCTGTCTGCTCTAAAGTTTCTAGATTCTCTGCAGGTCTTGCCTCCCTCATCTGGGACTAAATACAAACAAGGTCTGTGTGGCTATCAGCACGCCATGGGTCGCCTGAGTGTATGCTGTGTTTGGTATGGCTGCTTGGAGCACCTACCAAAACACGATGGAGCTTCACCTGTTAATCACAAAGCAACTGGACCAGTATCATAAATTATCTAATTTTGTTAATCAAGGGATAATTTGTGTCCTGCCTGTTTCAACAAATAGTCTCTTCTGTGCTATTTAGGCACTTCTTCCAGTCCAAACCTCATAAATTATTCACATTCAAGTTCAAATGAAGAAATACAGCAGTCTCTCCTTTTAAAACATTATTTTCACTAACTTGCTTCATTAGCTTCAGCATGCTCTTTGATGTATGAGCCTTTTTTATGTAAAAAAAAAAAAAAAAAAATAACAATTAGCTATTCAACAACACCCATTCACTGCAGAAGATCTGTTGATGAGCAAGTGATGTAATGCAAAATTTCTCCAAACCTGTTCAGATAAAGAAATAAACTCTACAACTTGAATGTTCTTTTCTTTTTTGGGTGAACTATTCCTTTAACACATTACACAAGAAATTTCCATTAGTGGCCCCCATATTTTAAATCTGAATATAAAGTGGCATTTTTGCCACTTTCAAGATAGATTTACAAAATTTAAAATCCATCCTGCTGAATTCTACAGATTTTTCCTGATTTGAACAAGAACTGATACTAGTTCAACATTATGGTGAATTTAAAGGGATAGTTCACCCAAAAATGAAAATTTGATGTTTATCTGCTTACCCCCAGGGCATCCAAGATGTAGGTGACTTTGTTTCTTCATGTTCAGTTTCTTGCACAGACCGATCGTTTCGTGTCTTTAGACATCAATGTATCGTCACGAGCCGCAGTGTTTAATTTGGATTTGTCTGTGCATGTTTTTTTTTACTCTCATAGATTTTGTTACCATTGCCATGCATTATCCGACTGATAGACTGCAACGGCTGGAGTTAAAAATCTCCGTTTGTGTTCTACTGAAGAAACAAAGTCACCTACATCTTGGATGCCCTGGGGGTAAGCAGATAAACATCAAATTTTCATTTTTGGGTGAACTATCCCTTTAAGGCTATTCTTGTATTTTATCATTTTGAGAACATCAGTACTTTCAACACTAAAACTGTCCTGTGAATGGAACACAAGATATCTATTACCAGTTATCTTTTTCTAAACAATCTTCAACCTGCTGTAAAAGCTTCCAGCATGGTAGGTGCCCCATTGGGCCAAATCAGAGTTGCCTCCTCTTTCACAATCTCATTTGATCCTACCTACACATATGAAAAATTATGCACAATTCTGCTCTATTGAACATACATATATGCACACAGACATACATCTATGAAGAAATTCAGTAAAGGTGTTATACTTGGCTTTGTCCCATGGCATGCTGTTAAAAAACATCTGAGGAAACACAATGTTCACAGTCTGTAACTCCAAACCCCAGCGTCCCAATATCAGAGGTCTGTTTGTTTGTTATATCTACTAATATTTGTGTAGTTTGCATTTGTCATGGACAATGAAACAAAACAAACACTTTCAACATTCCATTTCAATATCATGCTCTATGATTTAATGACATAAAATGAAAAACAAAGATGAAGTTTGGCTGGTTTTGATTAGAGTAAATAAGCATACCAGGTGCTTCTTCCACAGGTACTGACGGCGCAGGACCATAGTCTTCACCACCAGCATACACGGCACACACGCCAGAGCTATCACCACCAACAGAGACTGAATCCCCACCTATGCACACATAGAAAGAGATCCTCCAATCATCCAACCAGAATTCTATCTGATCCTAGCCAGAATTCTATCCATCTATTTGTTTTCTTTTAAATGTGTGTATTACCTGTCCTCTGTACAAGGGTTTGTTGGTAGGATCATTGTAGTTGAAAAGACACATATTGATGAAAGCAATCAGTAGACTGGGAGCATCTTTAGATGTCGCTGCATCATAAGCCGTCCACTTGTAGAAGATGAGCAGGATCAGATAACCAAACAGACTGCTCATGAACACAATCTCAGGAATGAAACCCAGGAAAATGTTCAAAGGTTTCTTGAAGTACCTGTGAGAAAGAAATGCAGTTAGAGCAAAACACGAAAGGACGATCCCCAGTCATTGCACTTAGTAATTCGTACACTAGCTGCTCCACACGCACACATTTGAACACACACTTACAGGTGATTGAAGAGGGACAGCGTGACACCAAACAGCATGTGAATGACACCCAGGACTACAGACATCTTCATCTTAAACGAGTTCAGGAAAGTCAGCTTATTTGTGGCAACATTCCAGATCTAACAGAGAAATATTAGTAGAACAGTCTTATACCAGAATTGAACTGAAGAACCTTATTTTAGTTGTTTGTAATACAAATCACAGTGTAAAACGTATAGAGGAAGAGAAGTTCTCATTTGTGCTTTTTGGTAATTATTGGTCTTTGCACATTTACAGCATGAAAAAAATGTTAAGTTTGGCATGGTATTTTTTCTCAACTTTTACAAAAATGTCTAAAGACATATTCTGTTCCATTCTGTCTACCCGCAGAAAAACAGATTCTATGTAAAAGGCCTCTAATCCTCTTTCCTTTCATTCCTTTTGTTAAAAATAAGTACATTTTAGCACATTTTTAAAAAGTTTACTACAGAAATAATGTCACAGACATACTTAAGTGAAAACTGAATGTAATGCTTTTGGACACTTAATTGCATGTTATTGCAATAAAAAGAAAAATGTGAATTCATATTCAATGCAATTATGTGTGCAATTTCTCACTTCTATCTGCCTTTGAAATATGTTTAAAGTGTACTGCCAAATGTACTGACAAGAATTTATGCCAAAATACACTAAATAAAATATGTAATGTCTATTGAAACTTGTATGCCATTTATTTAAATATATTTATAATTACATATTTGTAATGATGATGTTGCAATTTAGTACATTTAAAATAAGTTTAAATTAATATTAGCTAACACAATACGCTTAAAATTATAATTAAGTACTTGACATGTATGTACATAACTTAGTCAACACATCAAAATACTGTTAAGTGCGCTTATTTAAAGCACAACAAAAGATTATGAACATCACATTATGAAAAGATTATGAACATCACATTCTGTTTCGAGCACCTTATTTGTGTACACTTATGCTCAATTTTGTCAACATCCAATGCAGGCACCGCAGTAAAAATGCATGATGTAAAAATGTGTCTGAGGTGTGAATCAATTTATTTGTCTAAGCTGTCTCTGCAAGGTTGCGTGTATACTGTATGAATGTGTTTTTTTGTGAAACATACGGGGTCAATGCCCAGAGGATAAGGGCCACCAAACACGCCAGGAACAGCGGGGTCTAACTGAAGAACTGAGTTACCATCCAGAGTCTCAAACCTACAAATACATACAAAAATTGTACAATGTCAAACTCATTAAAAAGTGAATGTTAGTCAGGATATAATGATTGCTTTACATCTGTACATTTGAGATGAGACACTGTATTTTACATGCTGTTTTAATGTTTTGCTTTTTGTTATTTTCATTATAAATTCATTTGACAATCAAAGTAAGATTGTATGATTGCTGATGATGTTTGATTATATTCAAACTGTTTCACTGATTTAATGTTGTGAACTTACGTCCAGTTTCCTTTAGGGAAAAACATGGGCCGCACACTCCAGCTTGAGCCGAACATGTTGAGGGACTTGGAGAAGCAGTCATTGTAGATCAATCCAGTGTAGACTGAGAATATCCCCATCAAAAGAATGATATAACGTCCTGCAAAAATCATGTTAAACATCTACACATACACAAGAGGGGAGAGAAAATAAAAACTAAGGTTAGACGTTTGTGAAGTTATAAACAATCAGCAAATTACATCATAAATATTCATAAAATGTTGCACCTCTGAATACGACTTCATGATTACACTATAATATCTTGTTATATTACATAATTGTATGTTAAAGATTTCTTGAATTTGCTTAATGAACGGATTATTTTTTTCTGCATTATTATTGAAATATGAAGCTGGTTCTGCATATATTTAAATGCCTTAAATGTCCTTTTTTTTTAAATTGCAAACTGCGAATTGTATACTGCTTATTTGTATCATCAATATTTTCATCCAAAGATTGTACATTTTAAATGAGAATATACGAATGTGAATTTGAAATCCTCTTAAAGCATCATTGTTAACGTTTAGAAGTTAACAATGTTAACAAATCAATAACAACTTCATATTTGATTTAATCTCCAAATTTAACTTCATATTTATTTAAAGGGATAGATCACCCAAAAATGAAAATTCTGTCATTAATTACCATCATGTCGTTTCAAACCCGTAAGACCTTCGTTCATCTTCGGAACACAAATTAAGATATTTTTGATGGAATCTGAAAGCTGTCTGACCCTGCATAGACAGCAACGCAACTGAAATGTTCCCAAGTCCAGAAACGTAGCAAGGAGATCGGTAAAATAATCCATGTGACATCAGGGGCAGTTCAACTGCAATTATACAAAGCTACGAGAATACTTTTTGTGCGCAAAAGAAAAAAAATAACGACTTTATTCAACAATTCGTCTCCTCCGCATCACCCTAGTGCCATTTTGGAGAATATTCGCTGGACGTAAACAACGTATGCTGTTCTGTCAGCTTCGTATAATTGCGGTTGAACCACTGATGTCACATGGATTATTTTACAGATCTCCTTGCTACGCTTCTGGACTTTACATTTCAGTTGCGTTGCTGTCTATGCAGGGTCAGACAGCTCTCAGATTCCATGAAAAATATTTTAATTTGTGTTCCGAAGATGAACGAAGGTCTTACAGGTTTGAAACGACATGAGGGTGAGTAATTAATGACATAATTTAAATTTTTGGGTGAACTAACCCTTTAATGTAATAGTTATTGATCAGCTGAGACCTCATTGTCACTCTTCTGAGCGAGCAGGCGGGTCTCTCTTATGACCAGATAAAGTGCCGCACATGTCATCAGCAGGCCATGACCCATGTCCCCAAACATGACAGCAAACAGGAACGGGAACGTAATGATTGTGTATGGCGCTGCAAGAAACAAAATAGAAACAATCCAATTATACAAGTGTTAAAAACAAAGTTAAATTTATTTCCTGAGAAAAAGTGGACTCCGCATTGTTAAACCAAATAGTAAAAGTATGTATATATTTTTTTTTTGTAAAATCTAGCAATTCCTGCATAAATGTACTTTTAAGCATAAGGAATGTTTCCTGTTTTGGTACCTGGGTTGATCTCTCGGTAGGTTCCGATGCCGTAAGCATCCACAATGTTCTGGAACCCCGAGGTGAACTTGTTGGTCTTGTTGTAAGTAGGTGGAGTCTGTTTGGTCTGCATTCGGTTCAAGATGGAGGGAACTGTGGAGCCACTCCGTTCCTACATAAATAAAAACTTCCCCTTTAGACATCCTGTTGACTATAAGTAACTTTGCAACTACATGTCAACTACCAGACAAGATTCTTAGTAGACCATCTTCTTAATGTTTGCTTCTTAATAATTGCTTTGATGGTCCCCTAACAGACATTCTACTGACTATTAGTAACTTAGCAAGTACATGTCAACTTACTCTACTAACCAGAACCTAACACTCTACTAACACTCTAATTAGTTGACATGTATTTGCAAAGTTACTTATAGTCTTATAGGGGACCATCAAAATAAAGTGTAACCTTCAAAGTACACTGCCACACACATCTACTCAATCTAGCAATATTTCCACATATATAGTAAAGTCATGTATATCCACACAATAATAAAGTCATATAAACTATAAAATAACACAAACTGATATAAAATCAACTTCATGAGGTGGATCCTGGGATGGTTTTAAAAGTTTGCATGTATGTTGAATGCTTTTCCTTCACTATCTGCTCCAACCCATTTATTGTTACATGTAATTACAATTTAAGTATAAAAAAAAAAAAATATATA